GCCGTTTTGACTTTCACTATTTAAATTTTAATTGCACTAGCTTAATCTAAAATTTGTCCTCGTATATATGTTTCTGAGTATCCCATAGGATGCTATAACTTATCTCTGGGGATTCCTTTGTCTTAAGGAAGAAATCAATTTGAGCATCAATAAATTTTACAAAATCATCGTCTGCCAAGAGTTTTGAGTTAAACCGCCATGTACGTTGAAGGATTACATTGCCTGGAAAACATAGCTTTAGTGAGACTGGACAATAGTCCGAAATAACAATACTACCATACTCTGCTTCTGACATTAAGGGAAGTAACTGCTTGTCCAGGAGAAAATGGTCAATCCTGGAATAGGTTTGATGCACTGGTGAATAGAGGAAAAATTGCTTGGAAGATTGATATTTAAATCTCCAGGGGTCACTTACATTATATGTCTGAAGAAAGGAGTTGATACATTGTGCTGGCTAACTTAATGTATTACTCGAAGAGCTAGATCGGTCCAAAATTGGGTGCAAAACACAATTTAAATCGCCTCCTAAAATTAAATTGTGTCGAGACTAGGCAAAATTGAAAATAAATCTCTGAAAGATTTTTCATTGTCCCAATTAGAAGCATACACATTGGCCAGGACCACAGACATGTTAAAAAGTTAACCTTGGATTATTATGTATCTGCCATTTTTATCCAACACATTTGACTCCAAAACAAACTGTACATTCTTATGTATGAGAACAGCAACGCCCCTTCTTTTGCTGTTAAAATTAGAATGATATATTTGTGTATAGCCTCCTCTATTATGTTTAGAATAGTTTTTTTTCAACAGATGTGTCTCCTGTGAATATACAATATCGGATTTTTACTTATTAAGATGTGCGAACACCTTGTTTTGTTTCACTGGGTGATTTAGCCCCCACACATTCCAACTGGTAAAGTTTGTCTTTACTCCACCCATTTTATGGAGGGCTGTCGAAAACATTTATCAGAAGCATCTAAAAGGAATCTGTGGGTTTTGTATGTAGGGAGATGTGTGGGGGAGAGAGGAAAAAAAAGAGAAAAAAGAAAAAAAATGGGGTGATCACACAAACACTTATAAACACGAAACAACACAACATTGAAACCTTGCATGTAAACTTGCTCACACTTCCAGCTACTCCCACTCTTAACTAGCTTACCATGTGGGATCTTACATATAAAACAAAACCATTTGAACAGCTCTTGATGTTTTAATACGAAGCTACACCATTATTGACAAAACATACTTGAGAGCTAGAAATAACAACGAACATGCTATAGTGGTAATTTAAAAGTTAACCGGAGATTGACATTAACATTTGTATTGTCTTTGACAGCCCAGTGTACTGTCGTGATTGCCTTCATTTCAATGGCTTTCTTCAAAATATCCTCTTGTTCGGAAAAGTAGTGGCATTTAATTACGAAGGCGCATGGCAGTTCCTTGTCGTCCACTGGTTTGCTGCGTATAGTGATTTGAGCGGGGAGACCTCTCCTCAAGATCTTCGCTTTGGTCTCAGCAGAGCCAGCTTCTTTTTTCAAGATACTAAACTCTTTTTCCAGCGTAGTAAGAGAGTCAGAGTATCCACCCAACACAGACTCCAGACCAGTCACTCGCTCTTTCGCTGCATCCACTCTGGTGTTAACCACTCTTCCACTTCCACTCTTGCTTTTTCTAAGATGAAGGCACGTGCACACGCTGCGGCTTCTCTCTTTCTCGACAAGACAGTGTTTTTGTGTTCTTTGTCATGTACGTCCTCGCTGCGTTTATCTGTGCTTAAGCGCACATATAGTCTTAAATTTTTGCTCGACATCGGCAGAACCAAACTTTACAAGTTAAACTCCGCAGACACGGAGGAGCTGCAAAATCTCCGTTTGCTCCAGAGGCCTACTCATCCTCCGACCCCCACTTCAACACCTCGCCCACAATGGAGGCAAGAGAAAGCAGAAGAGGGGCAAGCGTTGGGGGATCTGAACTAGGCTAGCGACTAACCCACACAAACCTGCTATTCCCTTCATCATTCTAGCGAACGTACGCTTGCTAGACAACAAACTGGACTATAGCCATCTACTTCGTTCATCTTAAAAGACTGTAAAGAACTGTTGTGCATTTGTGTTTACAGAAACTTGGCTCAGTGACTATGTTCTGGACATTGCGGTTCCAGTCGTGATACCATTGTAGTCTGCAAAAACTGCTTGCCACTGGTGAAGTTTATGGTTTTAAAGTGCCAGCCGTTTTATCTACAGAGGGAATAAACAGCCATACTGCTTTTTTCTGTTTACATCCCTCCCAGCTCCAATGCCAACAACATGACTGAGGCACTGAAAGACCTGTACCTGCACATCAGTGAGCAGCCTACAGCCCACCCAGATGCTTTTCTCATCCTGGCTGGGGACTTTAACCATGCAGACCTAAAAAGTGTGTTTCCAAAAATACACCAACACACAGACTTTCCAACACGGGCAATAACACACTGGTCTTTGTTTACACCACACAGAGAGGAGCTTCCAGCTTGTGATGCAGCATATTAAGTCTGTCCTGCCCCCTCCTTGGACCCCTTTCAGTTTACATATCGGTCCTACCACTCGACTGATGACGCCATCTCCACTGCACTTCACTCAGCGCTCACACATCTGGACAAAACAGACTCCTACATCCGAATGCTGTTCATAGACTTCAGTTCAGCAATTAACACTATCATCCCACAACAGCTCACTCAAAAACTGGTCCAGCTGTCAGAGTAACACCTCTCTGTGTAACTAGCTGCTGGATTTTCTCAGCGGAAGACCACAAGCAGTACTGGCCGACAGTAACACATCCAGCACCATCACTCTAAACACTGGGGCCTCTCAGGGATGCTGAGCCCTATCCTCTTCACTTTTCTGATTCATGACTGTGCACCATCTCACAACTCCAATCTTTTCATGATATTTGCGGATGACACAACTGTGGTAGGTCTCATCAACAAAAACGATTAGAAAAACTACAGAAGCAAGGTGAGCCATCTGGCCGAGTGGTGCAGAGACAACAATCTCTTCTTTAATGTGGAAAAGACAAAGGAGATAGTTATTGACTTCAAGAAAGTGCACACTCTGCATGCTTCAATGACCATTAACAGTGCGTCTGTGGAGCATGTGAGCAGCACTAAGTTCCTGGGTGTACAAATCACTGAGTATCTCTCCTGGACAAAAAAATCACAGCTACTTCCTCCACAAACTTAAAAGAGCAAGATCACCAGCCTCAATCATGCAGACCTTCTACAGAGGCACAATTGAGAGCATCCTGACCAGCTGCATCACTGTGTGGTTTGGAGCCTGCAATGCATCCTGCAGGAAAACTCTTCAGCGCATAGTGAGAACAGCTGAGAAGATCATTGGTGTCCCTCTACCCTTCCTCCAGGACATTTACAGCACCCGTCTCACCCGAAAAGCCCTCTGCATAACAGCAGACCTCACTTACCCAATGCATAGCTTCTTCAGTCTGCTGCCATCAGGGTGGAGAATGCGAAGTCTCCAGGCCAGGACCAACAGACTGCAAGACAGCTTTATCCATCAGGCTGTCAGGAAGCTGAACCCTCTCCCAACTCTGCCACCACTCCCCTCTCCCTCCACATGCATTTTTGGACTCTGACACACATGAAAACACACACACATGCACACATTCATCTGCACTGGTCACTTTATGTAACATTGGTCTACCAGTTAGACACATCATACTACATTCACATATATTATGAAACTGTCACTTTATCATAATCATCATGTGCACGAGCCTTTTTGCACTATATACTGTTCTTTATCTGCACAACTCTGGTTTATAATTTTTTATTGCGTATGTATATTTTTAGACTACACTTAAAATATATTTTTAGACCACATTTTATGTACAATTGCATATATTGTAAATTTAGATTAAACATCACAAGCGGGCTTGCACTGATTAAACTAATATCGCTGCTCATGAAAAGACCGGTATTGCTATTAACATGACGTATGCATATAATAAGGTACAGTATATGTCAAAATCAGTGCAGTATCAGACAGCACCCGTGAGAACAGCACAGCAAGCGTTAACAGATTCAGTTGTGTCAAGCAGTGCGTGAAGGGCTGGTGAGTGGTCTGTGTATCTTTTGGTCCCTCATTTATAGTATTTATGGTATTTTTTGTGATAATGGGATTTCGTTGAGACATATTTTCCTCATGCATGCATATATTTTTTTGCTTGTTAGTTTGATTAGTGTTGATTTCAAATGCAATAAATCTGTTTGTATAAAACTTGTGGTAACGGTGCTTATAATTGGTGGGTGCGACAAAATTTTGGTTGATGCGCCTACATTTTTTAAATTAGGAGCACTGGTGCTACCAAGCAAAAAGGTTAATTTTGAGCCCTGGTCTACTTTACACATTTTAGAAAAACATTTTGTTTTAATTATGAATAAATACGAATAAAAACAGGTCATTTACAGCTTTCAAATCTGTCTTATCAATATGAACAAAATTACTTTTATGATCAATTATGTAAGAAACTCTGAAAACTGGACTGACAGATTCAATTTACTATAACTTCTATGTTAAGCGGCGTTGACACATTTTACATTGTAAAAGCACTAAATAAACATTAATTGAATTAAATCTGTTTAAATGTGTACACATTAATGGACAGAACAAAATATGACCTGATAAATTTTACATTTAATGTGCATCAAAATTACAGTGTGTGTAGCCAATGTTTCCAGTGTCTTTTCAATTTTCTGCTTTTGATGAAGATATTCATGCAGAGTTTTATAGACTTAATGAAAACGAATGTTTTTTTTTTATTTTTTATATTTTTCAGACCTAATTGAACAGAATGAGGGGAGTAAAGAGGAGGAACATCATGTCAAAAGTGAGGAAAAAACTAATTTACAGACTGATGGTATTTTGAAAAGGAGAGACAAGAATTGTTTCACCTGCACTCAGTGTGGAAAGAGTTTGGCAAAAAAAAGCAAACTTAAGATTCACATGAGGATCCACACTGGAGAGAAACCATTCACATGCACTCAGTGTGGGAAGAGTTTCAGCCAATCATCACACCTTAAACATCACATGAGAATCCACACTGGAGAGAAACCATTCACATGCACTCAGTGTGGGAAGAGTTTCAGCCTATCATCAAACCGTAATAAACACATGAGGATCCACACTGGAGAGAAACCATTCACCTGCGCTCAGTGTGGGAAGAGTTTCAGCCAATCGTCACACCTTAATCTACACATGATGATACACACTGGAGAGAAACCATTCACATGCACTCAGTGTGGGAAGAGTTTCAGCCTATTATCATCCCTTAATCTACACATGATGATCCACACTGGAGAGAAACCATTCACATGCACTCAGTGTGGGAAGAGTTTCAGCCTATCATCAAACCGTAATAAACACATGAGGATCCACACTGGAGAGAAACCATTCACATGCGCTCAGTGTGGGAAGAGTTTCAGCCAATCATCACACCTTAATCTACACATGATGATCCACACTGGAGAGAAACCATTCACATGCACTCAGTGTGGGAAGAGTTTCAGCCAATCATCACACCTTAATCTACACATGATGAACCACACTGGAGAGAAACCATTCACATGCACTCAGTGTGGGAAGAGTTTCAGCCAATCATCGAACCTTAATCTACATATGAGGATCCACACTGGAGAGAAACCATTCACATGCACTCAGTGTGGGAAGAGTTTCAGCCTATTATCATCCCTTAATATACACATGATGATCCACACTGGAGAGAAACCATTCACATGCACTCAGTGTGGGAAGAGTTTCAGCCAATCATCACACCTTAATAAACACATGAGGATCCACACTGGAGAGAAACCATTCATGTGCACTCAGTGTGAGAAGAGTTTCAGCCAATCATCACACCTTAATAAACACATGAAGATCCACACTGGAGAGAAACCATTCACATGCACTCAGTGTGGGAAGAGTTTCAGCCAGTCATCATCCTGTAATCTACACTTGAGGATCCACACTGGAGAGAAATCAAACAACAGAATTTCGCATGCTTAAACTCTAGTATGACCGCAGCTTTGGTGTGGGATGAGTTTCAGCAACTCCTCAGACCTTAATAAACACATGAAGACTCACACTGGAGAGAAACCATTTACATGCACTCAGTGTGAAAAGAGTTTCAACCGATCAGCAAACCCTAATGAACACATGAAGATCCACACTGGTGTGAAAGAGTATATGTGCTTGAGTGTGAGAAGACTTTTCTTACAGCTCCAAATTTGAAACTGCACCAGACGATTCACACTGTTACAAGAAGTGTTATTGGTTAACACATCTGAAAACAGAAGAGGATTCACACTGGAGAGAGACCGTACAGATCTGATCAGTGTCCACAGAGTTTCACTCAATTGCCGCAGCTTGAGAAACACATGGACAAGAAGTTGCACACATGATATGAATGCAGCACAACATTTTTCATATGCACAAGATTTTTCATGTCTGAATAATGTTTAAAAAGGCTGAGGGACGGTATACTCTTTTCTAACACTCCTACACTGGGGTTGTTGGTGGGGTTGTAAATGTGTCGCGTTTCTCCCACTCTCCACACTCTCCAGTGTATTCATGTAGCTAGTGTTGTTTTGGATGATGTTCTCTGTCTGACTCCCTGAATGAGAAACAAATCATGGTTACCAGGACGGTTAGTTTGCAGTATAGCAGGGCATCAAGTTTAGAAAGCCCATTCAATTGTCCTGTGTTGCATCTTTTATTAGTAAAGGATCTTTATTTGTAAGTTCTAGTTTACTACGGTAGGGATGGTATAAAGTTTAACCCAAAGAATGACCAGTCTGTCAGATGAAGAAGAGCCGGAGTCAAAGATTCAAATAAATAAATGAAGTTTACTGAAGATAGTTTGCAGTTTCATCAGCAGAAGCCAGCTCAACATTTGCAATGAGTTCCTAGGTCACTCTGACTTACAGTACAACAATGCAGTAATTATACTCTACACAAGTCCAGAAAGGGTGGGATCCAGGTAAACAGTTCTCATTGGTTACAGCAAAAATAGACAATTCTAAATGCTCGTGTCAATGAAGTATTGTATCTAGCTCCAGATATGGATGGCCTCAATGCGTGCGTTAAGAAAGAATTGTATCTAACTCCAGATATGGATAGCGACATGGTTCCTGGGGGTTAGGTCGACCCTAAGTTATTAAGAGCTGATCTCCGACCTGTGAAAAGCTAAATCAGGGTCACAATAGACACAAGAGACCATCTGTGTTAAAATCTCAAGGATGGACCTTGTACGGTGAGGCAGTGGGGCAGCAGGTAGTGCTGTCGTCTCACAGCAAGAAGGTCACTGGTTAGAACCTCGGCTCAGTTGGTGTTTCTGTGTGGAGTTTGCATGTTCTCCCTGCCTTTGCGTGGGTTTCCTCCGGGTGTTCTGGTTTCCCCCACAGTCCAAAGACATGTGGTACAGGTAGGCTAAATAGACTGTAGTGTATGAGTGTGGTTGTGAATGTGAGTGTGGATGTTTCCCACAGATGGGTTGCAGCTGGAAGGGCATCCACTGCGTAAAAACTTGCTGGATAAGTTGGCGGTTAATTCCGCTGAGGCAAGGGACCAAGCCGACAAGAAAATGAATTAATGTTTCTTGTACGTTCAGCTGTGTTATGAAACTGGTTCCATCAACAGTCTGCTACACTATCCTTACTACACACAGTGTCTATCTCCATACAAAAGGAATTACTTTAAAAAGAATTACAATCAAAACAGATGAATCAAACAGGTAAATTACTGTAGACAATATCAGGACAACTAGAACAGGTGTTTTTCTTCTCCTCTGCATCGATACTTTGTTCAGAGGGACAGAGAGAGAGAGAGAGAGAGATCTCCATGGCCTATGACCTGGTTTTTGTGAGTCTCCTGAAAACAAAATTAAAATAAGCAAACAGAGAAACAAGGACACTGAACATTCTTACATTAAGCAGTGTGAACATATACATTAGATAAATCAAGTCAAAGTTCTATAATTAATAATTAAATTTAGTAAAAATTAATTAAATAATTATATTTAATAAAAAGTGATGAGAAACAGGATGTTGAGAAAAAGGATTAACGTTGATTTGTTGAGATGAATTTGAAGGTAGAACTCTAACTCCTTCAGTCCCCTGTTTTTGACTGAAGCGAATTAATCTGCTCCAGGTCAACCAGTGAGGTCACTAAAGAAAGTGGAAGTAATGACTCGTGCTCCCTACTTAAGCCTAGTTCACACTACAGGATTTTAAACATCAGCAGATCGCTGTGCTGTTCACACTACATGACTTGACTTTGTGTCATTTTAATCTCTGTGGTGTTCACACTACGCAACACTCTGTGAATGATCCACAAGAGGGGGGTCACACACTACATGATCTGACAACATCTCATTCCCCATCAGCTCATTCAAGCTACCAAACCACAGCCAATGAAAATTTGAGGGAGGAGCCATCAGAAAAAGCTGAACACTATTGGCTGCTTGTGTGCTGATTACATCACTGACAGCGTTTCAAGCTTTGGAGAAAGCATTTAAAAACATCGTCAAATCAGCTGATTTATGAGCGGATTAATCACTCATCTGCATGGTTCGAGTGGATAGATACACAAAGTTTTTAATTTTTGTAATTTTATAACTCTTTGAAATAAAACTAACATATTTATAACACCCTGCCGTTTTCTAACTATCAGTGTATTTCTTTCTGACATTGTTATTTTTTTTATTACAAAACAGTAAAGAACTGAGCATTTCTGCCTTAAATTACCATATTGGTCAAAATGAATGCATGCATGTCTGATACTTTTCGCTGTGACTTTAAATGTGTGTGCATTTTCTTGCCTGGCAACTTCCTGCTAACATAAACAAAACTTTCTGATGGCAAAAACATCAATTTACTTCAGATATCTTTCAAAACAGCAGATTCTGTGCCGCCAAATAGCTCCTGTTTGAAAGTGAAAATGAAAGCCAAGACCTTTAAGTGTTTTAGTATCTTAACTACATATTTATAGGCTGTATTACCAAAAAAATATTATATTTTTAAGGTAATGGTGTCATTAAATATGATGCCTGACATTCAAAGCTTAATTTTAATATCTCAATTATAGCTTTGAATGTAAATATGTTGTGACAATATGGTGTTTTATATGAGAACGGTCAGAATGAGCAGTATGGTAATTCTAATAGTTACACAATTTTAGTTCCACTGTTAATATAGCCAACTCTCATGTCTGTGCTAACGCAGAATGAAGCGAGTGCACCGATGCCCATTCTGACCAATCACAGATGTTTCTGCTGAGCTCCTGAACACACAGGCATTTAGCTCATGCTGATATGCTCTCTCATTGGCTGCAGCTCGTCACTACATCTGACCACACGTGGGGTTGAGTCGGCCGACTGCTCTGGAATATTTAGCATGCTGAATGTTGGATTTCCGTCTGCAAGGTGTCGGCGACGCATCAGCGAGCCTCGTTGATCTGTTGTTCATTAGTTCACACATAAAGAGCGGCGAGCGCCGTGCACCCGCAGATTTCTTCCCGATCACAGCCCGATCTGTCGGCGAGCTCGTTAACTTCCAAATCGGGCTCAAATCAGGCTTAAAATCCTCTAGTGTGAACTAGGCATTAAGAAACACATGGACAAAAAGTTGCACACATGATATGAATGCGGCAGAACATTTTCTCATGTGCACAGGATGTTTCATGTCTGAATAATGTTTGAAAAAGCTGAGTGACGCTATACTGTTTTCCAGCACTTCTACACTGCAGTAGGTGGGGTTGTAAATGTGTTGCGCTCCTCGCATTTATGTAAACACAATGATGGCGGCTGAGAGAAGAACAGTTTTATAAACATCTGGCAAACAGCACTTTTGCGGCTTAAAGTACTGAAAACTTTCCTCATTTATGTCCAAGAGACATCAATGACGTATGGCAATGTTATGCAACACACAACATGCCACAACCTGTTCCCCCTGACTTGTCCAAATCCCTGAAGTGCATTTTTAGTATGCCAAATGCTTACGTGCGTTTTCGATAAATAAACACTTCACTCACTGTTGTAGGCATGATATATGGAGTAATCAACCATGTTTTTAAAGGAAATCCATTGTGCCCTTACAGCCACCCATCCATCGGTTGAGCCCTTACAGTTGTCTTTTGTTTTGTAAGGGCATTGTGGCTTACACAGAGGCCTTTTTCTGAGAATGCCGGTATGTCAGCAGATAGTGTTGCCATATAAAGTTGCTGTTTTGCAGTGGCTCGTTGGTCTGAGGCAGGGCTATTCAATTTGTCATGGGGTCCGGTTCATAAAAAGCATCCCAAACAATGGGCTGGAGACTTGCTATACAAGTGATGACACAACTACATATAAGTGCCCATATGCTGTATTTGTACTCATAAAGACACCCACGTTGGCTTTTCCTACATTCAAATGTTAATATATTGTATTTTAAAACAACTGCATTGTCCAATTGACTTTTTTTTTCTTTACAAACATTCACAATGTTGTATTTCACACAACAAAAGCAGTGCATTGCTGAAGTAGGCTTCTTCTACATTCAGACACATTCATATGTTATGTTTTGAGCAGCATAACAATTAGTGATGCAACATTATAGATTTGGTTGTAGGATTATAGTCTGAATAATAGTCATGCTTTCACGGTTATCACGTCTAATGTAAATTAGAACAACAAGCTTTATATTAGGGAAGTAGCTATTTAGATTAACTGTTGTTATCATCTGGGTTCATGCGTACATAATAATTTTAATAATGACTTGTCTAACATATCTTTTGTTTACATTGCACTGAAAGGCATGCACAACTCTTACCGTGAGATGTTTTCTACTGCGTGCGCCCGGACAAAGGCAAGTGCGTTGCTCCACTTGTGCGCGCAAATTGTTTCTGCGGGTTCTCTCCTGTTCAGCTGCAGCTGAGCCGCTTCAGAAATAGCAAACTTGCAAGCGGAAAAGACGTGATCTGGGAATGGCCGCTGCAGTGTATGCGCGTAGTAGCCTTGTACATACTTGGAACTTTAAACTAGCGCACAGTTGGCAACTTGT